CAAGGTATTCCCTAAAATACAGGCGGGCAGCCACAGAAGTATCCTGTTATTAATGAAACTGTGAGAACTGAGAGCCTGGTGGTATAGAGATGGTATCAAGACTTCAAGAACAGGTAGGACAGGAGGGTATGGAAACCTCCTGGTTAAATCCTTATTATTGTCAAAGGTATCCAAAGAAAAAATTGTTTTGTTGGGTATTTTTAATGAAAGCCCATATTGCTGTACCAAGACCACTCAGTTTGCTACATAGTCTTGGTAGCAATGAGTTGTGAGTGCAAATGCTTCACGATCCTTTATTGTAGGATGAGATTTGGGGTACTGCACCAAGGAGAAAGGGAGGCACAGGCTGGCCATTAGAATAGATGCTCTGTGAGAACTGCAAGGGGAATGATACCCATAGATTGTGTAAAGGGTAAAGATGGGGAGTGCTCATTCCACCCCACTGCCAGAAAGACAGCAGGTACCTGAATAATGTAGCAACAGAGAGCAGGAATAGATTTCAAATAACTCCCTTTTGTACAAATACATTATTTGTTGTCTGTACCTACTGACATCTGGGTGATTTTTTAATCATACATCACGCTTTTGGTCCTTTGCTCCAGGGAAAAGAAGCCTGCATTAAAATGATAATAAAAAAACCTCCATAAACCTGGTGATTTATGGTCTCAAACTGAGACGTGGAAATGATCCACTCCCCTCAGAATATGAAAGCTATTTGCCATTCAAACCCAGATCTGATTTTTGCAGAGGGCCTCTCACATTAATTGAAGGTCAGATCAATATCACTATTTGTAGAGTGTTTGGAATACATGCCAGGACATATTTCCATATTAAAATTCAACAAATTCATTCTTGCCCAAGGTTAACCTTAAACAGGAAAGAGATATTTCAACCTGTTCATCTCATATTAACTTGTCATGTTGCTGAGCATGGTGTCCACCTTTGCTAATTTAATTCATGTCAAAGCTTGCAGTTTCCATTGCTTGCTGTCACTCCATTATAATTCTTGTTTCTCTCTCAGGACTGCTGCTTCCCAAAATCTCCAGTGCCAGAGTCATACGTCATTTGGGTGGGTTTCACTATTCAAGGCTTTGCAAACCGGTCCCCTCCCAGGACGGGATGAAGACTCAGCCACGCTGTCACACTTACTGCGGTCAATGACTCCACACCTCTCCCATGATTTTCTAGCTGTGGACTTGCAACAGAGATCAAGATCTTCACCTAAAACTGATACAAGCAGAACAGACAATGAGTTACAGCAGTTGCTAATGGATGAATGGGGACTGAAATCTTGCCCTCACCTTGACACTCGCTGCAGTCGGACACATGTCTCTTCGCTGTCAGTGTCTGGGGAGGGAACAGGTTGCCTGGGCTGGAAGACAGCCTGGATGACCTCAGTGGTCTTTTATATTTCCATTAACAAGAAAAGAGCCCTGGGAATGGAATCAGAAATGTGAGCGCTGTCCACTATAAGCCTTTAAATGTGTCAAATGTATTTTCCACTTCTCCTGTGGACATGAATGCACGATCAGGAGACTCAGGTAATGAGATCTGCAGGCTTGGCTTCTTCTATAAAATGCTCCTTGGTATTTTATGTTATTAACCTTTGCAGTAGAAGTTCACCGGGTCCTTTTCCTTTTCCATTAAGAGCTTCCCAGATACAAAAAAGGGTCAGTTCATCCCAAGTGTCCCCAGTGATTTCCCCAGCTTTCTACAAAGGTGATTTGCTTTCAATATTATGCATTTTTCTCTCTTCCCTCCCTGTTGTGCATACATGAGGTAAAGCAGGTATCATTTGCTTTCTGAAACCCACCATCCCCGATTAAAATGACCAACAGTAATTTTGATCAAAGGTTGATGATTAGTTTGGGGATTTTCTGTTTCCTCTGCGTTACCTTGAAATTTGGAGCTACCCAAGTGCTCACGTGTTTTGTGTCCCCAAAATGCTGCTGCTTTTTAAAACAGATCGTCTTGTGTAAAAACCCAAATGTGCCTCTGACTCTAAACTCCCTAAGGATTCATGGAATGTCAGCAAAGCCCTAATACCGAGTTCACTTGCTGCCTAGTTCATAGTTCCAAAACGGATACAACATCTAACTTGGAAGCAAAGATGGAGGGAAAAGCCCCAAAACCTCCGAAATACTGCTTGTATTTTATGAGCAAACATCAAGATCTGTAACCTTACTGATGACGTTTCACCTCAGATCCAATGTCATTTAACAGGGAAGCACTGCTGACCATAATTAAGTGTCATTATCTCTAAACTACTGTTGTTGCACAGCAGTTTCATTTTATGCGTTCTTAATGCACAGGTATTTCTTTAAATACCTTTTGCAGTTAATGTATTGGCTTATATTGTGGTGGACTCTGCAATGCTGGGTTAACAGCTGGACCTGATGACCTTAAACGTGTTTTCCAACCTAAACTATTTTATGATTCCATGTGAAATGCAGGATTGAAAGGCAGCGTAACAGGGAACAGAAGTGTCAGAAAGCATTTGCAAGATGACATTCACATTTAAAAGCTAGATGGCAAATATTCAGTGGATTTAATATATTACATCCACAGAAGCAAGTGAAATGGTAACCAAGGAGTAGCTGGGAACACCAGGGGAGTGTTTGATCTTGGCTATGGGTATTCCCTACTCTCAGTTCCAACCCCATACAGAAAAGCAGAACTCACATTGTGCCTAAGGCAATTTCCTCTCAGATGCCAAACCACACAACCGGCTTACCAGTGTTACTTCTTTTTATCTGGATTTGCTCTTAGCACATCATTAATTCTATTTTCAAAATTCATGTGGATTTGAATAAGATTCCACATGCAGATTGTTGGGGAGGTATTCAGAGCATCGCCAGGCTCTTCCACACGGAAAAAGGAGTCAGCTGCAGGATGAGGATTGATGTTCAAGTCATTGAGAGCTCACATCTCAGCCCCAGCTGTGGCAGGAGCTAGAGATGCCAACCAAAGGCTGGAGAGAATTCTGCTGGGGAACATGAGGGAGGAGACCTGGGGAAGGGAGGGAAGCAGGCAAGCCCGAAGAGCTCTTTCAGCTATAGTCAAGTGCTGTAAACACGCACCTTCCTTGCCACTTGCATGAAAAATTCTTCTAAACATTTTCCATTTATTTTCCTGATTAACAAGCTGTAACTATATATTAAAAGTATGTATTTTAAAAAATAAACTGAAAACCTAAAGAATATCCTTCATTTTTAATATTGAGACAAGGACAAGAGATTATTAGCAAATGGCATAGAATTTTGCTTTAATACTGCAGGGGATTGCCAATGTAATTTGGTTCCAGGGATCTTGGAACCATCACATCTGCAAAAGGTCAATATTAGAATGTAAGTGATGTTGCTCAGGCAGGTCATAAGGCCAGTTAACAGTGCTATTCCTGTATGTTAGGTGATTTATTAGCAGCTTAAGCAGCAAACAAGCATATAGGCTGAGACCAAGATAATAAACTTGAAGTAGAATTTATTCAGAGGCTGAGAAATTTGCAGTGATTTACATTTGTTGGAGAAGACGTGGACCCAGCAATTTGGACTGACTGCTGCTCAAAAGGGGAATGAAGGCAAGATCCATTTCCTTCAATTATTGCATAGTGCTGACTACAACAGACCTTGGAAAAATCCTTCCCTTACATGTCTTTTATCATGAAGAAATCATTTGGATAAGGAAAAGAGATCACTCTGAGTTGGAAGTCGCAGTAGTAATATTTTTTTAAGGCATCCCCTAGATGCATTTTCATAAATCCATAAATCCAACTCTTATCTTCTCCCCATCTTTGGAAAGAGGATATTGTGTTTACTGGCAGGATCCCGACAGGTTTCATTTAAATCAGGAAATGCACATCAAGCCTGACATCACCTCATTTCAAAGCTAAGGGCATCCAGAATCATAAGGAACACAAGTGCCTGGTATCTGAAACAGAAACACCTTCAGAGCTGACTCTCATTTCCATACAGAACATTATGAAAATTTATCATCCAGGAAGATTATTTCTTATAATAGGCACTGAGAAACAATTCTGTTCTCATTTTGGAACTGTTTAGGTGGAAAACTCAGAGACAAGGAAACCTTTTGCACAACAAAATTAAAATATAAGCTCCTAATAATTATTTCAATAGTTAAACTAGTCACTATGAAATTAATGTAAGCCACAGCAGCCTTCCATGGACAGCTACACTTTTATTGATCCATTAAACCCAGAGTGTTTCAATAACATATTCCAAAGGTTATTATTTACTCTGTAATCATTAGCTTAGCTCAGCATAGCTCATACATAGCACAAGTAAATGAAACATCAGTTGACTGCTTAGGAAGAGAGATGAAGAAAGCAATAATACACCCAATAAATCACTTGTTACATACGTATTCAGAAGTACTGTAGCTTGTTGAAGCTCCTTAATGGTGGGGAGTGGTGGTCACAGAGAGACAAAGGTCTCCTGCCAAACAACTACAGGATACCAGGGAGACATCCACACAGGCTCTACTGAAAGAACTGGCACCCATGTGCACACTGGTGCCCACATAAATCCACTGTGTCCTTAGCAAAATAAACCCCCTTAGAAGAATCCTGTGTATATAAAAAGGATTAAATGCATATAAACAGCCTTCTCCAGGACCTAAATCTTGCATTATGTTTGAGTTTGAAGAATCACTTAAGGACATTCTTCAGACTTACCACTGATTGCAGAGACTAACACACAGCAGCAGCGTGTGTAACCTCCTGGATGGCAGTACAACACTGACAAACGTGGGGGAAAGGGAGGTCTATACAAATGTGCAGGATAACTACCATTATTAATCCTGGAAAACACCCACCACTGAAGTGTTAGTCTCATTTTAGCATCAAAAATCAGAAATAATTTGCTAATTCACATGACACCCATACAGTGTGGTTCTTTACCATGTGGAAGAAAGCCAAACCACCCTCAGAGGTGATGTGTAGAGAAACAGCACTACTTATCACTGACAGTACGTGATGAAAGGGTTCAAAAGCACTTGCAGTGGACAACAGAGGGACCAGCATCCTCATATTCATCTTTACTGATCCACATTTGCTGAAAAGTGGACAGGGATGCCAATATTGAACCCCCAATCCAGACCGGGTATTTCCGTTCGGGTGGTGCAATCATCTACAAGAGAAGTGCAATCTGTTGTAAACAGAGTGACAAGCAGATAACACAGTAAACATCTCTCTGGGTGAAATAAGTGGGTGAGAGTCTTTTCATCAGAGAAGCACAACTCCATGAAGCACAACAGTGAAGTAAAGCACCTAAGAGGTAGAATGGCTGCTGTACTTTGTCTTCCATCTCAAAATGATAGAGATACTATAACGTTACTATGAGCAGACAAACACAGCAGCCCATGAGATCTGTGCAGATAGCTCATAACACATCTACCAAAACTTATATATAAAAGCTTTGAAATATTAACCTAATTTGGTTGTAATTAAAGACCACAAGACAGTGGCCTGAGCATTTATTTTGTTTTTAAAGATACAGGAATTCTTTAATATAAAGGAAAACCCCCCCAAAAAACATGGAGACATGGCATCATGGATCTAACTGAGCACTAGCTATAGAGCTAGAAGACACCCTGCCAGTTTATTTCTTCCCTGAGACACTGAACTTTTAAAATACACTGGATATATCCCTGCTTCTGCATCCTCCTGTTTCTGTTCCTGCCACTCCCTGTCATGCCCATTCAGCATGCTGACTGCTGCCTGTTAAAAAGGGTCTCTTTCCC